CTTACCATTACTTAGGGTACCCAAAATTCCTTAATTTCAAAAGTTCAAAAGTTCAAAACCAAAATGACCCCCCCAAACCCTAAGTAATGGTAATAAACCCTAAAGGGATTCAGGAGACAACCCTGAAATCAAGCATGAGAGGAGGTACGTCTCTCACTTGTAAAGACTCTAAAGCTGTCGGTGTACACCCCAATCCTACTTTGAACTTTAGGGTTTAGGGTTTAGGGGTTTAGGGTTTAGGGGTTCGGTTTGGGGTTTAGGGTATCAGGGTTTAGGGTATCAGGGTTTAGGGTTTAGGGGTTTAGAGTTTAGGGTTCTAGCATCAAGCTCTAAGCCCTAAATCCCAAATAGTAGCTCGGATTTCATTTTGCATGTTCTTTTCCATTTGCTTCTCCAATCTGGCCCTAATATTTTGGTACTGGGGTTCTACAAACCCTATAAGCCTCAGCCGTGCGCCTTACTCAACTTCTAAACCCCAAAACCCTCAACCCTGAACGGTGTAGGGGGCTACGTTTCGGCTCTCTTTGGTTTTTCGGGTCTGGAAGGCCAAAACTGTAAAATTTGGGGGGCTCCTAGTCTAGGGTTTAAGGTTTAGGGTTTAGGGTGGCTTTACACGGACCCCCCCAAGAGGGCGTGGGGTCCAGGTTTTGGGACTTTTTGACCTGCCTATGGGGTCTAGGTAAGGGTTACAGACTCAGAGATTTGCTAAGATCGGTTGAACACACTTCTTGTCCCAACGTGTTGGATTGAGGGTACCAGCCAAGCTTCTCTGATCTCAAACCGGGTTTCAGGTTTAGGGAGAAGTCTAACTAGTAATTCTCCACAATGATTGTCAATGCAGCTCTTGTATCTTTACTGTAACAAAGCTTAGAACCAATTAATCCATTCTCGAATAGCTCCCTACATTTCACAGCTTGGAGTGAGTTGGTGCAAGCCGACACAGAATGCAGCGGCAAGAGTTGGAGACGCGCTCAATACTGAAGGCTTAGGGCCCGAAACCCTAAAGCCTAAACCCTAAAGTTTAGGGTTCAGGGTTTCAGTGCCTCCCCGGTATGTTCCTCGACCGAGCCCTATGCAAAATCATCCACTGAGGAATCCCATATAGCCATTCCGTAGCCCTAAGCCCTAATTGTAATGTCTGTGTGCCCCGGGGGTGTTCAGGGGAACCCTGTTTTGAGAAGCAGCCTTCTGCAAGTCCCGGACATCGAAAGGACCCCCGTCCTGAACCCTCGCGGCTGAGCCTTGACATTACCTAGACCTCCCGCGCACCCATAATCTTAGCCCACATTACCCTAGTAAAAAAAAGGATCTTTTTCACATATATATATATATATGGAATCCCATGCCCCCAGAAGCATAAAGGATCCAAAGAATGGTAATAACGTCAAGAACATCAATGACAGTGATGAGACCCTGTATGCCCATCACTTGCGGCTTAGAAGCTATCCTTATGGGTTTTTGAGAGGTCTACGTCATCTAATCCCTAAGCCCTAAACACCAAACTCAAATGGTAAACAGGCCCACATGCATCCTTTGACAAACTTCCACTTGCTGCAAGGCAACTGCTGGCAGCAACATGTGCTTCGGATGGCAGTAGCCCCCAACCAGCTCTATCCTGGTTTAGTGTTTTAGGGTGATCCAGGTTGTCTCAGGTTGAAACCATAGGCCCCTAGTATGGGCCCTTAACCCTGGGATCCTTACATATCTAGTATATACCCCATATGTACCCGTCAGGGTCCCTAGAATCCCTCTAAAGGGCCGAAGGGCCCATATTAGGGGCCAATACTTCTAACCTTAGATCAAGGTTGGATTTGGCAGACCCTGAAGATTATGGGCATCGCTTTGGTCTCTTACCCCCTCTCTAGGATTACATACAGGGCGCCGCAGGACGTGCAATTTGAGACATACGCTTTGAGGGCTTAAGATTTAGGATCTAGGGTTATATGGTAGTTTCCTTAAATAGGGGGACCCCAATATAGACCCCGAAATATTCAAGCCTTCTCTATTATAAGGACCCCGAATGTGCACCCCCCAGTTGTGGAAAAATCCTATATGGGTTGATGAAGCCAGTTTCACACTCTGTTACCAACCCTGAACCCCAAATGCTACAGGTAGGTTTATTAACACTAGTGTTTTCTACATGGTACTGAGTAAATAATACGTATAAGAGGCCAAAGGATATTGATATTGGCTCATAACTTGGCCGCTTCTATACCTGTACACTGACACCCTAAACTTGCATGGCGCTGGGGGCAAGCTGAAACAAGCCAAGGTGCACAAGGTTTGGTCGGCTAAGATCCTGAGATGTCAGAATAACTTCTAAGACGCTTGCTTCGCGGGCTGTGCGGGTGCAGGGATTAGGGATGAGAGCTTTAGGGTTTAGATTTAGGGATAAGAGTTTACCCTTTTTCGCCGGACTGTAGTCTACAAGAACTCCCTTTTCAGGTTTCATGCTACGTTGGGACAAGAATAAGGTTGAAGCTTCAACTTCGGCCCTTGTTTTGGGCTTAGGGTTGAGATGTTCTGCATGGGGGCTCCCTCGAAAAGGGAGTTCAAAAATAAACCGCCTTGTTTTGAGATGTTCTATACTAGAAGTGGAACGCCGACCCTGTAATAGGGACAATAAGGATTATGCTGGGGTCCTAGTATCTTCCTATTATACCAGGGTGGGGGGGTCCTCCTACTCTATACTATAGGCATATCTCAGAACCCTGGTGCCCGAGTTGTCAAAACATCCTTACGACAGAGCTCGGGGCCCTGAACTCTAAGCCCTAAGCCCTAAACCCTAAGGGTTTAGGGTTTAGGGCCTTGTAAGCCCTGAACACTAAATCCTAAACTCCCTAAGCGCTAATGTCATCATCCGGGGATCGGGAATGAGGGAATATAGAGGGATATATAGGGTTTAGGGTTTCAGATTAGTAGGGAACATTTTCTTTAGTGGTTATAGGAGGATCTTATTCCCTTATTCCCTACTAAGAACGAGTAAGTACGCCTTGCACAGGGTTGTGGGCGCAGGGATTGTCAGAAGATCCTAAACCAAAGTTCCCAGCCAGGAGTCCCACATGCGCAGCAAGTTTGTCAGCTGCGATCGGTCCGCCAGGGGGCCGTCTAGCCAAACATATTCCTAGCAACAAGTACTTGGAGGGTCAGAGGGAGTTAGTAGGTAGGTCAATATCCTCTATGACCCAAATAGTGACCCTCCAAGTAAGGACTTAGAGTTTGTGCTCAGGGTTTCAGGCTGAATTTTGAATCAGCCCTAAACCCTAAACCCTAAACTAAGGGTTAGCTTGCATATGAGATATAATCTAATGTCCTACTAGTAGCAGCCCCCCTAGTAACTCCTATAATACGCCCCTATCGAACCCCCTTCAAGGAGTTGAGACTGTAGCTCATATGGCCCTTCAAGGTTGTTTGGTGCCATTGTTCATTTTGCTAAACCCTGAAACCAAAACCCTTGCATTCTGCTGGGCTCGATTGCTTTTGGAGACTGCTTTCATAAAAGTGCTGATCTTCTAAGACACTTTGTTGCAGGGAGTAAGAGCCAAGCAAGTTTGAGGATTTCTTGGCAATGATTAAAATGTTACTATGATTGTTATTGAATTATCACTACTATTGCAGTGAAAGCTACCACCAGGCAGCATCTACTTTGCAAGTCGTTGTTGGCCTCGACCCAACTCGATGCCCATGTCCAAGAAAAGTGCAAATTATCCTTATTTCTTATATGCGTTGCTTTCAACAAACCAAAAGAGAATGACGTGAACCGATCGCATTGCAAGCCTAAATTGCACCGAGTTGCCTTAGAGGAGGACATTTTGGCAATTAAGGCTCTCAATCCGCAATTGCAAGCACGCTCTGCGCAATGGTTTGCGGTTTAGGATTTGGTAACAATTGAAACCCTGAGAGACCTCTAGGTATCACCTGCTCGCAATTTGAACTGTGTCCTGCCCTTATCTCCACCTTCCTGTCAAGCCCCTATATATCCCATACAAACCCTGCACGGGCATTCAAAAGGGGCTCGATTCCACCCTGTTCAAAACCAACATGGCGCCAATAAAGCCCTGTTTCCACCGGACAGTAGACTCCATACTTACCTTTCAGGGGTTCCAGGTAGTTTGGGAAACGCACCTGGACCTCCAAAATGCCCCTAACAATGATTTTGTGCCACAAACTCTTGCTTATGTAGGGTGCTGTTTTGCCCTAAACCCCCCAAAAACACTGCTATTTGGGAGGTCCAGATCAGTCTTTTTCTGCCTGCAAAACCTCCAAAACCTCAGGACTCAGGCTGCGAAAGCAACCTTGAGAAACATAGGGTTCAGGGTTTCAGGTTTTGGGTTCTGGGTTTAGGGCTTAGGGTTTAAGGTTTAGGATTTGGGGTTTAAGGTTAAGGATTAAGGGTTTAGGGTTTTGGGTTTACAGCTTAGGCCTTGGGGGCACTCGAGAAACCGTACGCCGTCAACCCCCCCAAACCCAAAGCCCTACCCCTAAACCCTATAGCCCGAAACTCTAAGCTCCCAAGCACTCTACCCCAAGCTCTAAACCCTTAAAACCTCGACCCTTGAACCCTCAACCCTTGAACCCTCAACCCTTGAGCTCTCAACCCTTGACCCCTAAACCCTAAACCCTAAACCCTGAACTCTAGACCCTTGAACCCTAAACCCCAAACGGGGCCTGGACTTCGATGTCCAACTTCTCCAAGCCAGGATGCAAACATCGCCCAAACTTCAAAGGCCTAGGGGTTTAGGGTTTAGGGCTTAGGGTTCGGGGTTTAAGGGTTTAGAGCCTAAACCCTAAACCCCAATCCCTAAACCCTAAACCCTAAAACGGGCTTAGGGATTAGGGTTTAGAGTTCGGGGATTAAAGCTTAGGGCTTTGGGCCCGGAGGGGGCAGGGCCTGGCGAATTCAGAGGTTTTAGGCTTTGTTGGGCTTGGAGCTTTTGTGAATTTTGGTTCTATGCATTACTTACTGGGGGTTAGTAGGGAATAAGGGGATATATTTGGGACATATTTATATCGGGATTCTATAGCGATTGTGTTCCCTTATTGCCTACTAAGCACCAGTAAGTTACGGGTCCTTTTGTCTGTGGCATTTTCCAAGCCTATAATGCCTCTAACCTCGCCCTGGAATGCTTGTATCGCGTTCTGTTTTCGTTTCGAGGCAGCTAGAGAAACCTTAAACCCTCAGCCCCAATTGAAACCCTAAACCCTAACATCTACACCTCAAACCCTGAACGCTAAAACCTAAACCCCAAATTCTAAACCCTAAACCCTAAATCCTAAACCCTTAATCCTAAACCTTATAGGAAATCCTTCACAAATGCAAGCAACCATGATTGCTGGTGCCAGAGTGGTTGATGATAATTCTGTCCTCATGGTGCTTCTCTCTGGTGCCAGCTTGGTAACCACTCTGTTGCCACTCTGCCAACTTGCTCTCATGCACCAGCGATGGGCCAACCGAACCCTAAACCCTAAACCCTAAACCCCTAAACCCTAAACCCTATCCGGTGAATTTTCTGGCTTGCTTTTCCATCATCCCGCGCTGTCGTAATGTGCCCGTCTTGTCAGCGTTGACCACTCCGTGGGCATCACGATGGGCCTCCTCCCTCGCTGTGCCGTAGGGTCCCTGTTGTAGACCCTTGGTGATGGCGCTATCATAATTAAACCCTAAACCCTAAACCTACATTGGGCCGAAGGTCTAAACTCCTAGCGTCTCCCTGAACCCCCTATAATACTGCCCAAAATAACACGCCTTTAACTTGGTTCTCCAGTAAACCCTAAATAATAAGGGTACCCTTTTTCCTACTGTTCTGCTTTAAGAAGGAGACCCCCCAAATAAAAAGGGAAAAAGTGGTACTACTGGGGTATCTAGTTAAGGAGGAAAGACTGTGGCTCAAGTGAGTAGCATTTTTTTAGTGGTTAAACCCAGTAAGATTATATTCCTTATATAAAATACTATACACCTACAGGAGGATAGAATCTTACTCTATATTGGGTACCATAGTATCCCCAAATAACCCTAAACCCTAACCCCTAAACCCTCAAACCCTAATGGGTACCATAGTATCCCCAAATAAAATACTACACAAATAACCCCTACATAATCCCAGTTTCCATTTCATTTTCCATTTTCTTTTCCATTTGATTCTCCATTATTAGGATATTGGGTACCATAGTACCCCCAAATAAAATACTACTCATTTGCGCTGGGCTACTTGGATCCTTAGGGGCAACTTTCCGGGCGCAGAAGAGAGAGCAGAGGCCTTTGAAAAGGCTTTGGGGTTTTGGGGTTTTGGGGTTTAGGGTAAAGGGTTTGGGGGTATAGGGTTTAGTTGTTTTAGGGTAAAGGGTTTAGGGTTTTAGGATGTTTTAGGGTTTAGGGTTTTAGGATTAGGGTTTGGGGTTTAGGGTCTAAACTCCTTAAGGGGGGATTTATAGGGGAGTATTCTAGGGGTTACTAGTCGAGCTGTAGCTTGTTGATGTGAGCCATGTCTCTTTAAAGGGGTA